TATTCATTATAAATATACTCAGCATAAAGTAATTGCTTTAATTATCACTTCTGTGTGAGAAGAAATTCAGAAAATGTTACTTAAGATCTAAATCTCCTAGAATTGAATCTACTGAATTTGATTTCATCATATCACAACATTAAAAAGCACTCAACATATAAATAAAGTTTGAAAAACTCGGCAATTAAAAGGATGAAAATCATGAAATTTGTAGGCAAATGATGGGAACTAGAAAAGATCATTCAGAGTGATGTAACCCAGAAGCAGAAAGATGTACATGATATATAAGTGATTATTAGCCATAATATAGGATAAACAGTCCAAAATCTATAGTCCTAAAGAAGCTAAACAACAAGGAGAAGCCTAGGGAAGAGGATGAATCCTCAGAAGGAGAAACAGGATAGACAATGGAAGTAGGAGAAGACAAGGAACAGGACAGGAGCCTTCAAAGAGCACCTCTGAAAGATTCTACCCACCAGGGTATTGAAGGAGATACTGAGACTCATAGGCAAACTTTGGGCAGAGTGCCGCAAACCTTATGGAAGAAGAAAGAGATAGAAAGACCTGGAGGGGACAGAAACTACACAAAGAGAACAACAGACCCAAAAACACCTGGGCACAGGGGGTCCTGCAGAGACTAATGTACCATCCAAGAATTGTTGGTATAATGTTCTCATGGAATGTATACAATTTACCCATGTCCATTCAAATGCTGATTTCTCTACCGGACTCTCAGGTTTCAATCTGGATATTGCATTGTGATGCTTATTCTAAGCATCACCTATTTGTAAACATACCACGATTTGTTCTCTATACTGTCAATAAAACAACCTGCCAGTGCGGTGCAATGGAGAGAATAGGGTGGGACATCATGGCGGTTTGGGGGGGGGAGGGAGGGAGAGGACTAGGAGAGGTCTGAGAGGAGAGGACTTCAAACTACAAGGAGAGATGAACTGAACCTAAGATATGACTAAAAGCAAGTATAATGTTGGAAAATCTGAATGGTAGGAAACTATGCGGGCTTGGAGGTTTAGGATGGAATAACCACTGTCCAGCATTGTGCTCTAGGTTAATTAAATAAATCCTAGTCTCTGTACGGTGATTTGGTTATACATCTGGTTTAGGAATAATCACTGATTAACTAAAAGATAAATCAAGAGTAAATATTAATATCTGACAACAAATGGCCATGCATGGAAAGGACCTAGAACCACTGCTCAGATGTGCTGGGTTTCCCTATATCATTTTACAATCAAGAAAATTCCCCAAGATATGTCTACAGGCCAACTTACTTATTTATTTCCTCATTACTACTCTTTCCCAGGTAAGTTTAAGAAGTGTCAAGTTGACAGTTAAACTTAACCAACATAACTAAATATGAACTATCTCTGCCACATATTATTTTTATTTTTAGAAAATAAGCATTATTCCTTAAAATAAGGAATAATGGACAGTCTAAAAGCAAACCATAAGCTATAATTTTTTGATCTAGAGTCAAGCCTACAAATGCATTTTCCACAGAAACTCTGTGTATGTTTGCCTATCACTCTATAAAGGGTCCTTTCTCCTTCAGTAGTCCACGAACATCATATAACGGTTTGGAGTTTTTGTTGTTGTTCATTTCTTTTTAGTGTTGCTGTTTTGTGGTAATGGGGATGGAGTCACCAATGTAAGGTAAGCCCTTATCATTAAGGTACACTTCCAATCCTTTCTACCATTATTTTAAGACACGATTTTGCTAAATCATTTCCTAGGCTGCACTTGAAGTAAATAAATAGGAATGAACTTGCAATCCACCTGCTTTAGCCTCCTGAGTAACTGAGATTAAAGGCTTATGTTACTAACCTAGCGAAAACTATACTATGCTTAATAGTTATTTCAACAAATATACTAATATTACATATTAGTTGATTTTGTTACAGAAATCAGCTTAAATCATTAATTTTAATTATAAAATGAAAAGGTGTATACCAAGTAAACGAATTTCAGAGATAATGCTAAAACAAACCTACAAAGAGTACATTAAAATGTGTTTTTAAAAAGCTAATAGTAAAACAAAATCATATACGTTAAAATTGTGTATTATGTGTGTAACTATGCTTGGTCACTAAGAAAAAAAATAGTATAATTAAAATGCTTCAATGGGGGATGAAGCGATGGCTCAGTGGTTTTTCCGGATGTCTTGAGTTAATTCCCAGCAACCACACCGTGGCTCATAAACATCTATAATGTGATCTGATGCCCTCTTCTGGCATGCAAGTGTACATGCAGAACAGCACTCATATACATAATACATGAATCTTTTTTAAAAATAAATAGAATGCTTCAATGGATCTACAGTGCTTAAGGAAAACATATGGTTAAATAAGGGAAATACAGAAAGTAAAGCTTGATGTAGTCACATATACCTATAATGCTAACACTTTAAAAGGGGGATCAGAAGCCATCATTGGCTACAAAATTAAGTTCAAGGCTAACATGGGCTACAAGGTCACTGAGACTGTCTCCATGAGAGGAAGAAGAATAAAAATAATAACATTAATAAACTTGCTAACCTGGGTATAGCTTTATTATAAAATTCCTTTTAAAAGAGTTGGGGGTAGTTAGTAAGCAATCAGTAAAGAAATGGATTCAGATCATTTAACCATTGACTTCATTTAACCACTGAAGTCTCTAAACTTCAGGTGCTATCTATAAAAATACCAAGTTTTTTATTCAAGACTTCCTTTTTAAATTGTGTGCATGGATAATGGTGGGTATCTGCACATGGATGGAGATGCCTACAAAAGCAAGAAGCACCAGATTCCTCTGGAACCAGATTTACAGGCAGCTATGAGTCACAAGATGTTGATTTTGAGAATCAAATTGGTGTTCTCCAGAAAAGCAGTACACACTTGTAACCACTGAAACACCACTCCATACTCAACTTTTGTAATTTAATTTGATATTAAAATAGGTTTTATGCATAAACACTTATGTATGTACGTATGTGTATGTATGTACATATGTATGCACGTATGTATAATTATTACCACAGCACCTAAAACATATATAAAAGTGTTAAAATGCAGTTGCCTTTATTATAATAAATCCTTGATCTGGCCACTAACACATCATCTACAGCACTGGCTATTAAGTTAAATAAGTTATATCACAAAAGAGAAAAAAAAAAACTTTATAAAGGGGCTTAGGGTAGACCATAACAATAGAGAGCATGTTTAGTGTATGAGAGCCCTTGACTCAATCCCTAGAACCATTAAAAAAAGGGACAAAACAAAACCCAGAAGTCTTTAGAGTAACCTATTCAAATGTCATGAGGGCTCCTTATCTCAACTTGCTAATTAAATCATAGAAAAAAGTAGAATAAAGAACAAGTAGAATAAGTATCATTTACTATTTAATAGTGAATGATCATATTCTGCTCACTAGAATTACAGATTTGTTTGTTTAATATTTATAAGATATCACTGCTACTCACATTCACAGCTTGTCCTTTAAATTTCTATTTTTTTAAGGAACTAAGCACACAAAATTACAAGCAAGTGGATCATGGGACTGAAAAAAATTTTCCAACGTCTTGTTAAATAATTTATGTCCTATGTATAAAATGTGATGCTATAAAATCATTTCAAATATATTTATAATCACTGATAAAGTTGTTGGAGCTTATCATTGACTTTTGGATACACATTATAAATAGTTTGCATAGTAGGGTTCCATTTCAATAAAATTACATATGCAAATATGTATGTATGTATGTATGTATACACACACACACATACACATTTTGCTGGCTAGTTTTATTTGAACTTCACATAATCCTGAGTCATTTAAAAGAGGGAGCTCAACTGAAAAACAAATGCCCCCACCAAACTGGCCTATTAGAAAGCCTGTAGTGCATTTAGTTGATTGATGATTGATATAGGATGACCCAGCTCACTGTAGACAGTGGCACTACTTGGCTGGTGGTCCTGAGTACTGTAAGAAAGCAACCTGAGCATGCCACTAAGTAGCATTCCTCCATGGCCTACACACAAGCTCCTATAACCAGGCTACTGCCATATTTGAGTTCCTACCCTAACTTTCCTCAATCATGAGTATAATGTGAAACTGTATGCTGACATAAATCTCTTTCCTCCCCAAGTTATAGTCAAAGCTGTAAATAAGAAATGAACATGCGTCAAGTTCTTTAAAACGTCTAAATTATAAATCCTCTGGCTCATAGGATAATGGGAAAAGTTCACTGCACAGTTCTATACAGTTACACTTGTCCAAATGTCATAAAAATATCAATATAAAATTCATTTTTAACTCAAACATGGAAATACACACCTATAATCTCATCATTGGAAAGTAAATAAGAGACATCACAAGTTCATTCCAGCCTGGGCTACATAGCCAGCTTAAGGCATGCCAACATGCCTAAGCTACATAGTAAAACTCCAGAATAAAAACAAAACAAAACATAACAAAGGAAAAAAAGCAAAGAAAAAAAATTAACAATTTACCAAGTTTACCCACAGCTTTCTAGTTACTTAGTCATACTCTAAATTTGTTCTATACTAACTAAAAACTTTGTTAGTTTTCATCTTTGACATTATGTACACAGGATGAAATGATTTTCACTAGTAACCCAATAGACATAACTTGGTTACATCTGCAGAATATAGCAGTAGAGGAAGTTTATGAGCTCTGGGTTTATATTTAAGACAATATTATAATAGATTTATAGGGAAATCAAGCCAGTAGTGATACCACATTTTGCTTAGCATATTGTACTTTAAAAAATGAACTCTTAGAAACAATGCATCATTAATTTCAACTAAAGTATACTATATACAGCTACTCAAAGGGCTATTTAGTCTGAAAACATTAAAAAAAATGAATACTCAGATTTATCAAACAACCTGTGAGCCCAAAAAAGCCATATTTGAAGGATAAAATTTTCTTTCAGTTAAGGACAGACAGACACACCTTAAAAAACAAAGTCACATAAATAATACATACTTTGCCTTTGCCTTGCTTCTGATTTTTTCCTTCAATGTCTTCAAAATCTGTGTCAGAAGAAAAATGTGTTTCTGACTCCCTATGACAAAAAGATAAGCAAATATTTAGAAATGTAAATGATGTTTCCAATTGTTCAACATTATCTTAAAAGATATACATGGTTGACTCATTACAAATCAGTGGGTAACAAATAAAACAAACTTATGGATGTGGAAAAGGGTACTGTGGGGAGGAGGAGGAGATGACTAGAGTAGAAAGAAGAGAGGATGTAGGGTAAATATAAACAGAATGTACTATATACATTCTGAAGTAATCAAAGAAGAATTTAATTAATAAAAACTCAGTATTATTACTCAAAGCAACTTATATACTTTCATAAAATAAACCTCAGAACATTACTAAATATGTAAGACTATATGGAAAATTACAAAGAATACTATAAATCATGAACTAAAACAGGAGAATAAATTTTAGCACTGCATAGCAATGATCTCTTCCCCACCCCCAAGTCGGGTTTTGCTGTTTGGCCCTGGTTGTCCCAGAACTCACTATGTAGACCATGCTAGCCTTGAACTCAAGAGATCTGCCTCTACCTCCTAAGTGCTAGGATTAAAGGCATATATCACCACACTCAGCTAACAGCAGTGATCTTTTAGAAATAGAATCTCAGTGTTCTCATCTATAACACAATATACACTGAAAGAATGGAATCTTTCAAGTCTATTCAACCTTCAACATACAAAACTACAGTCTTAACAAAGTGACCCTTGTTTTTAGGGATGGGGATACTTTGTATAAACTGCATTTTCTCATCTACATTAATGAAACTGATTTAAATTAAACATAAATTCAATTAACACACATGGTTCTTTCTTTATGCTTCATGTGCATGATCATGGGTAAACTAACCCTACCTTATTCAAACAGTTTAAAGCAAGACATACATTGTTTATTTATATATATATATATATATATATATATATATATATATATATATATAAAAAACACTGGGTTTTACAATAAAGCCACCATGATAGACAGTGGTATAACCACTGAAAATGTGTAAATGCAGAGTCAGTTTTGCCTAAAAATAAATAGAAGGAAATGGAAAGACTATCTTATAAAGCTAATCCTTTCTACATTCCTTCCATTTCTATTTCTTTACCATAATATTACCAGCTGTCCAGACATTATGAGTTAGCAAGTTTACCTCATAAATCTACAGTAATGGTTAAGATACTACCAGGAGGTCAGGTGCAATGGTGCATGCCTGTAATCCCAGCATGAGGAGAGGCAGAGCTGGCAGATCTCTGTGAGTTCGAGGATAGCCTGGCCCAAAACGTGAGTCCAGGATGGCCAAGGCTACACACAGAAACCCTATCCAAAAACCAAAAAATCAACAACCCCCAAAAGAATATACTTCGAGTAATTTATAGCACTTACCTACAAAGTAACTTAAACAATTTACTGATGATAATGGGAATCCTAATTATGTTCTATCATGGTGAGAGGAAAGTTCTGAGAGTTGATCACCAAAAACTCAATGACAAATATAATCGTAACCATGAAGTTTAAAAGATGTTTGCCACTCATGTTTTATATATGCATATAGCATGGCAAAGAAATTAAAACATTTCCAATTATCTTCATACATAAATTAGATTGGTTTTTGTTCCCAGATACTTGGGGAATACCAACTCTTGGCTCAGCAACTGTTAAAAAATTGTGTGAACTGTAGTCCTCAAAATATCTCAATTGCCACAGAAGAATCAAAGGCATAATAAAGTTCTATTGCGCCCAACTGTCCAAATCACAAGAATAAGCCATTAGAAACAAAACATGCAAACAAACAAACAAAAAAAAAAAAAAAAACATGTTAATGAAAATCAAATCAGGTCATGAAAATAAGAATTTAAAGTTACCCCCGAAGAGCATTCCCCCTCCCCTAGTCTGTCTTAACTCCACTGTTGTCCAATGTCTTAAGGCTAAATGAACACTAGTCTAGATCAATTAATATGTTGACAAAAAACTGAGATAACTCTTCAATAGTTTGAAACAGGACTAATCTACTAATACTAGAGAACTGAATTTTCTGTTCGTTACTGTCCCTAAAATCTCACATCCCAAACAAATACTATTATCTCTTCTACTTCCACTGCCTGTCATTATCCATTATCCTACAGATATGATATCCTGTAAATTATTTAATGTATTATATATCAATATTCTAATCTACAATATAAACTTTTTAATGATCTTGAATCATGATCGACATAATTGCATTTTTTTTCTTGCTTCCTAACCTTAAAATAAGAGCTAATAAAAGCAGGCATGCCTGTCTTAATTCCTTACAGTATAAGGTCCTAATATACAGTCGTATCTTTAACAAGAATATGCTCCTTGGGAGACTGTTTTGTTTTTGTAATCAGGCACTCATTATGTAAGCCTCAAACTGCCAATTTTCCTGCCTCCACTTCATGAGTACTGGGATCACCAGTATGTACCACTAAACATGGTCCAATATTTCCTTTAACAAAAAAAAAAAAAAAAAAAAAAAAAAGAATGCAAAACTTGGAATATGGCTCACTAAAGATGCTGTTTTGTCTTAGAAACCTTAAAGCATAGGAAATACACTCTGCAATTAACATCACAATTTGGGCTGAAAATGTGACTCAGCAGGATACTTCTCTACAATGCCTGGGTTCAATCCCTAGCAATGCATAAAAATGAATGTGGTCATATATGCCTCTAACCCAAGCATCTGACAAGCAGGAGTTTCAGGAATTCAAAATCATCAGCTACATAGTGAATTTAAGGCCAGGCTAGGCTACATGAGACTCTGTCTCAAAACAAAAACATAATTTTGAAGACAACAGCTGTAACTTAATAGTAAATAACTTGACTAGCATACATATGGACCTGGGTTTAATCTTAGAACCTTGAGGAAAAGTCGCAAAATCCCAATAGACTCATAATCTCCACCAAAGAAAAGTTATTAAAAATATGAAAAGCTACCTACTAATAAAGGTAGAAACCGGCTGCCACGTACAACATATCTACCTACTGCAGTCAATATTTTTATCCATTAAACTTTTTCTACTGAATCTAGCCCCATAAAGAATATAAAAGAAATTGTATGCAAAATAAAGCTAAACAGAGCTATAAGCAATTTAAAGTCTTACTTTTAATTCAGAAACCTCATGAACTACTACTAAATATAAAAACAGCTCTTTCACTCACACAGTGATGCATAACTTTCATCCCAACACTTGAGGGCAGATGTGTACAGATTTCTGTTGAGGTGTAGGTCAGCTGGGACTACAGTTTTTTTTTTTTTGAGACCCAACTGTATGCAAATAAAATGACTCCTACATAGGCAGGGTCTCATTGAATAGCCCCAAAATGTCACCATCTCTTCAACTTATTATCTAGGCATGGTGGCATTCAGTTTATTCCCAGCAAAAATAAATACTTCAAGAGCTACTATTCCCAAAAGTAAATAAAGCAAGGTGTATTACAATAAAAGCAGACTAAAGAATATAGGTGATGATTTTTAGACTTCTTTGTTTTATATGTATTAGTGTTTTGTGCGAATGTATGTAAGCTTGTGCACCATAAGCATGCCTGGTACCCAAAGAGAGTATCAGATCCCCTGGAACCAGAGTTACAGATAATTAAAGTGACCACATAAGTACTGGGAACTGAAACTAGAGGATCTGTAAACAATAAGTCCTCTTAACCATTAGCCATCTCTTCAGCCTCAGAAATGGGGATAACTTTAAAGACAGGATAGAGAAACGGAGATGTAGGTAGGTGGGTGGTCAAGTATTTAAACATCTTCTCTAGACCAATATGCATGTATATAACTTGTTTCTGCAACAAATGGTAGAGATGTCTTACATTCATTTAATTTAATAACAAAACGTGACACTGCAATCTAAATACTAATGTATGGTATTATTTCTTACTAATTAAATGACTGAAAGTTTTGATAATCTTGATATTCTTCCTCAAAACAACTAGTACTATGTGATGGTATGAAAGAAAATGGCCCACATAGGCACATATGCTTGGTCCTCACATACTAACACTGTTTGAGATAGATTAGAAGATGTAGTCTGGTTGGAGGACAATGTCACTGGGGGATTTTGAAATGTCAAAGTCCACCCCAGATGCAGTCAGTCAGTCTGTCTCTCCCTTTTATTCTCCCTTTTTGCCTGCAGATCAGGATTTAAAGTTCTCCAATACTGCTACACTGCCATGACAGTCTACTTACTGCCACGATGATCATAGACTAAATCTCTAAAACTATAAGCAGGCCTCCAATTATATGATTTTTTTCATACGACTTTCCATGGACATGGTGTCTCTTTACAGCAAGAGAGCAGTAACTAAGACCTCACAGTGCCAACAATGGATTCAGAACTGCAGATAAAAAAAAAAAAAAAAAAAAAAAAAAAAAACCTAATAGTAGAGACTGGAGAGATGGCTCAGTAGTTAAAAGCATGTGTCCTCTTGCAGTGTTCACTTTCCAGTAACTCCAGCTGAGAGAGAATCTGGTGCTCTGTTCCGGCATTAACAGGCAACTGCATACACATTCATTTACCCACATTATGGACACATGCACAAACATATAACTAAAAATAGATTTATAAAATAATAAATTATACCATATGTAAAGTTTTAAAAATATTACAAAAGTACTAAAAAAATCAATGAGTACCAATTTTGAAAAAACTTTCAAAACATACATGTTAATTCATATATTAAGACTGCATGGAGAATCAATTTAATCAAAATTACTATTTCAATTTTACAGAAAAAACAACTATTTAAATGTTCTTACAATACAAAGTACTTACTGCAGTAGATTAAAATCAGTTGGTATTTCTGGAGCTGCTATCATTTCTTTATCATCTTCTGGAACACACCAATGTCAGAAATATATTCATATATTTATGTGAGTAAAATGACAGTGTGGTTCCTCTAAGAAAGACAATTCCTTTAAAGAGGAAAAAAAATGACATATTCATTATAAATATACCACAATAAACATCAAGAAATATTCACACTCAAAAGCTAAATTCCTCAGTGTCTCTTAATGTGTTTTAATAAGTATTTTGTTCTCTTCCATTTGGCTGGATGTTAAGAACTCTTATAGACCTATAGTAATAATACACCATCAGAGAGTATTGTATTATAAATAAATTTGTTTATAATTTCTCATGACGCTATAACCTGGTGCTCCCCAGGCCTCGCAATCCATCCATTAATCTATCCATTTGCATGTGTATATGTACATAAATAAAAAACATATAAATAAAATACACATATATGTAAATAAGTATACACTAAATAAAAATAGAATGTAGCTCTCTTACTAGTCCTGAAGTTCTGAAGTCCCTAAGAAAAGTTATAATTTTATTGATGGTGTCAAGACATGGCTAAAATCTTAAAATATAATTTTAAAACATGATATAAACAAGTTTTTCCACCCTTGATAAAACATACATAACAAAACTTGGTTTTTGAGCCCAGTCATGATAATGCCATATTGTGTTGAAAAGCGGTGAAATGTTAGGTCTGATCTAGTCCCCTCAATGTGCCTGCATATTTGAGTGTGATCTACAACACAACAAATAAAAACTGTCAGAGAAAAATAAAAACACTACCTGTAGCTAGCTATGGTGGTGTACATCTATAAACCTAGAAGCCATAAGCTTGAAACCAGCCTGGACTACATAACAAGAAGGGGAAAAAAGGCGAAACACCTGGTCTAAAAAAAAAAGTATAAGTCAGGGCATAAGAAAAGGATTACTTCTAGCTATGAAGTTCAAGGGGTACCTCCTAAATGAAAGAATGATCTGCTATCAAAGAACTGGTATATAGCGGGAAAGGAGGCGGAACAGGCTGAAGCTAAGGTCTGTATCTCTTAGAATATAAAATGTAAAATCTTGAGCTGCACTATGTCCCCTGACCTCCATCTTCCATGCCACTGCTCTCTGCCTGCCTTCCCAAGGAGTCCTGCTGGCCCCAGAAATATCCAGGTTATACTCCCCAGCCCCACCCCACCCAAATGCATGCCTTCCAAGCCCCTCTGGGTCATAGCCAGCAGCTGTGAGCTATGCTCTAGATCCACTGTCCAGGCCACAAATCTGCCCGCCTTCCCAAGGAGGCCTGCCAGCCCCAGGAACATCCAGGAATCCTGCAGGAACCAAAAATACAGAGGTGGCTGGCTGGCACCAGAGACAACCAGAAAGCAAAATGCTAGCATAAGAACAAAAATCAATAAAAGCCAGGGCAATATGGCACCTCTGGAGTTCACATATCTTACTACATGAACTGAGAAAATCCTGGAGAGAGAAAACCTAGGAAAGAGAACAGAAACTATAGCCACAAGCATCACCTACAGAATTACAAGAGATGAAAGAGAGACTCTCAAGCAAAGAAGATACTCAGTCAAATAAAATGTGAAAATCTAAAAAGTTCCTGACACAAAACATCCAAGAAATCTAGGACACTATGAAAAAAATGAAACCTAAGAATGAAAAGAATGGAAGGAGAAGATTCTTAGCTCCAAGCCTAGAAAATATTTCCAATAAAATCATAGAAGAAAAATTTCCCAACCTAAAATAAAGAAAGTGATGCTTATAAATGTACAAAAATCAAACTTAAACAATATCTATGCACATATCCAGCCTCACAGAAGATAACAGAAGGAAAACCCTAACCAAAGGAAGCAACTACATTCAAGAAAACATAGGAAATAAATAACTCCACTGCATCAAAACCAAAGAGAAATACACAAACACTACAATCACCAACATCAAAATAACAGAAACTAGCAATCATTGATCACTATTATCTCAACATCTATGGACTTAATTACCTAATAAAAGCACATAGGGTAAAAGAATGGATGCATAAATAGGAACTATCATTCTGTTTACAGATGTCTTAGAGACCCTAACAGACCATAGACGTCAGCACAGACTATTATATCCAGCAAAACTTTCAATCACCGTAGATAAAACATATTCCATTACAAAACCAAAGTTAAATAATATCTATGCACAAATCCAGCCCTATAGAACATTCTAAATGGAAAATTCCAATGCAAGGACGCTATCTACAGCAGAAAACAAAGGGGGGAAAAAAGCCACACCAGCAAAACAAAAAGAGAAGAATGAACACACACACACACACACACACACACACACACACACAAACAACACCAACATCAAAATAACAAGAACTAACAATCATTGGTAATTAATATCTCTCAATATCAATGAACTCAATTCTGCTATAAGAGAGACACAGAATGGATGCAAGAACAGGATCCATCATTTTGTTGCAAACAAGAAACATACCTCAGCAACAAAGATAAGCATTATCTCAGACTAAAGGGTTAGAAAAAAATTTTCCAAGTAAATGGATCCAAGAAACAAGCAGGAGTAGCCATTCTAATACCTAATAAAATAGATATTCAGCCAAAATTAATCAAAACAGATGGGGAAGAGCACTTCATTCTCAAATCAAACGAAAACTCTAACAAGAGGACATCTCAATTCTGAGTATGTATGCCCCAAATGCAAGGGCAGCTACTTTCATAAAAGAAACATTACTAAAGCTGATATCATACATAGAACCCCACACATTAATAGTGGGAGACTTCAACACCCCACTCTCACCAACGGACAGGTCAAGACAGAAATTAAATAGAGAAATAAGGAAACAGATGTTATTAACCAAATGGATCTAACTGATATCTATAGAACATCTCATCCAAACACAAAAGAATTATACTTTCTAGGCTAGAGAGATGGCTCAGGGGTTAAGAGCACTGGCTGCACTTCTAAAGGTCCTGAGTTCAATTCCCAGCAACCACATGGTTGCTCAAAAGCTGGTGTCCTCCTCTGGCCTGCAGGCATACATGCAGGCAGAATAGTGTATATATAATAAATAAATATTTTTTTAAGAAAAGAATATACTTTCTAAGCATTACAGGAACCTTCTCCAAAATTGACCATATACTTGGTCACAAATCAAGCCTAAACTGATACAAGAAAATTGAATTAACCTTCCGTATCTTACCAGATCAATATTGGATTAAAGCTAGACTTTAACAACATCAGAAACAACAAAAAAGCCTATAAAGTCATAAAAACTGAACAGCTCTCTACTCAATGACCACTGGGTCAAAGAAGAAATTTAAAAAATTATTTAAAGGCTTTCTAGAATTCAGTGAAGAGGAAGACACAACATATCCAAAATTATAAGACAAAAATGAAAGCAGTGCTAAAAGGAAAGTTCATAGCATTAAGTGCCTTCATAAAGAAATTGGAGCGATCTCATACTAGTCACTTAAGAGCACACCAAAAAGCTCTAAAACAAAGAGCAAACACACACAAGAGGAGGACAAAGCAGGAAATAATCAAACTCAGGACTGAAATCAACAAATTAGAAACAAATAGAACAATACAAAAAAAAAAAATCAAAGAAACCAAGAGCTGGTTCTTCGAAGAAAATCAAGATAGACAAAGTCTTAGCCAAACTTACTAAAAGGCAGAAAGACACTATCCAAATCAACAAAATCAGAAAAAAAAAAAAAAAAAAAAAACAAAAAAACCACGGGTCTGGAGTGATGGCTCAGCTGTAAAGAGCACTGGTTGCTATTCCAGTGGACCTGGGTTCAATTCCCAGCACTGATATGGCTACAGACTACTTTTTGCAACTCCAGTTCCAGGGAATCTGAAACCCTCACACAGAGATATATACATGTAGACAAAACATCAATGAACATAAACTTTAAAACAAAAAAGGAAAAAGAAAAGGAAAGGAGCATAACAAATAGCAAGGAAATCCAAAGAATCATTAGGTCTTGCTTCAAAAATATATACTCCACAAAATTGGAAAATCTAAATGAAATGAATGATTTTCTTGATAGTTTCCATTTACTAAAGTTAAATAAATATCAGGTAAACAATTTAAATAGACCTGAAACCCTAAGGAAATAGAAGCAGTCATTAAAAGTCTCCTACCCCTACCCCCCCAAAAAAGCTCAGGGCCAGATGGTTTTAGGGCAGAAGTCTGCAAAACTTTGAAACTGTTCCACAAAATGGAAACATAACATTGCCAAACTCATTCTTTGAGACCAAAATCACTCTGATACCTAAACCACACAAGGAATCAAAGAATTTCAGACCTATTCCCTTTATGAACATTGATGGAAAAATAGTCAATAATGTACTCGCAAACCAAATCCAAGAACACATCAAATACATCATCCACCATGATCAAGTAGGCTTCATCCCAGGAATGCAGGGATGGTTCAACATATGAAAATCCATCAATGTAATTCACCATATAAACAAACTGAAGAGAAAAACCACATGATCATATTAGATTCTGAAAAGGCCTTTGACAAAATCCAATACCCCTTCATGCTAAAAGACTAAGAGATCAGGGATAAAAGGTGCATACCTGAACACAATAAAGGCAATATTCAGCAAGCCAATAACCAACATCAAATTAAATGGAGAGAAACTTAAAGCAATTCCACTAAAATAAGAGACAAGAAAAAGCTGCCCACTCTCTCCATATCTATTCAATATATTACTTGAAAAATCTAGCTAAAGCAACAGAACAATTAAAAGAGATCAAAGGGATACAAATTGGAAAACAAGAAGTCAAAAAATCACTATTCATGGATGATATGATAGTATACATAAGTGAGCCCAAGAAATCTACTAGGAACTCCTACAGCTGATAAACACCTTGAGCAAAGTGGTTGAATACAAAATTAACTTAATAAAATCAGTACAATTCCTTTATATAAATGCTAAATGGGCTGAGAAAAAAATCAGGAAACAATACTCTTCACAACAGCTACAAATAATATAAAATATCTTGGCATAACACAACCAAGCAAGTGAAAGATCTGTATGACAAAACTTCAGGTCTTTTAAGAAACGAACTGAAGATATCAGAAGATGGAAA